TGTCTACTTCTTCTCCATCTCTTTCTTAATTTATTTTGCAGGAAGACAGTTCTTTACCCTAAGAATGGTGATAATGTGGATCACACTATCACAGGCAGTGGTTAAGGTGAACAGTGTCAATGTAATTACATTGCTGTGGGTCTGGAGTCATGTGTAGGCCAGGAGAAACATGATCCACTGATGAGAGAGGAAGGAATAGAGGGACATGCTGAAATGGTGAGAGGAAGAGGTTCAAGTGAAATGGTGAGAGGAAGAGGTTCGAGTAAAGCATGAGTAATTGAATTTATTCACGGGATGTGGGCATTGCTGAATAGGTGAACATTTATTGCCATCACAAGTTGCCCTTGAGAAATTGGGAGTTAGCTGCCTTTCTGAAAGGGTCTGTTTTGTTGCTGTATATTAATTATCTTTGCTTTTTGTGCTTTCCCCATTTAAATCCTGGTTTATAACTCATAGATGTCAACAGTCATATTTGGATTTGGTGGGTGGTTTTAGAGCTGGATGTCATTCCCTCCCCCTTTATTCAAGTTGGCCACCAGGACTAATGCCCCTACCTTGCCCACACATATCGCAGCTAACGTACCCTAGAGAGGGACTTCAACACAGAGACTTCTACCTCAGAGGGTGCTAGAACTAAAGGCATAGCCTGAGAATTCGGGCCAGACAATTAATCTAATGTTCTGGGGACATGGGTTCGAATCCCACCATGGCAGATGGTGGAATTTGAATTCAATAAAAGTCTGGAATTAAAATTCTAATGATGACCATGAAACCGTTGTTGATCATAAGGTAAAAAATCCATCTGGGTCACTGATGCTTTTTAGAGCAGGAAATTATCATCCTTACCTCCAGACCCACAGCAAATTGGTTGGCACTCAAATGCCCTCTGGACAATTACGGATGGGCAACGAATGCTGGCCTAGCTAGCAATGCCCACGTCCTGTCAATGAATGAATGATAAAAAAAAACTCATTCAGAAAAGATGTTAGGAAGTACTTCTACACACAAAGGGTGATAGAGATTTGGAACTCTCTTCCACAAGTTGTTAATTTTAAATCTAAGATGGATCAGTTTTTGTTAAGCAAAGGTATTAAGAGATATGGGCTAAGTGCAGGTATATGGAGTTATAGATGCCACAGGCAGCCATGATCCCATTGAATGGTGGAACAAGCTTGTGAGATCAAATGGACTACTTCTATTCCTATGTTCCTATGAGCGAGGCACTGAAGCATTCCAGTTTCCAAGAGTTATTGACAAATGCTAAAAATAATGGGCTGAATTTTCCCAGATCCTGAACAACGATGGCAAGTCAGTTGGGAAAGTGTGCTGAGATCAGAAAAAAAAAACAATGTTGAGAAAACAAGTCCGATTTTCTCCCAAGGTGAGTCTAGAATCTTGCTAGTAAACATTGAAGCCTATCTGCATGCACGTAACATCTCATTATTATCAATTTTTGCTTGTTTATTTATAATTTGTTATTCATTCACACAGCAGAGAGAAACTAGAAAATTCCCAACATGGGAGTCTGAGAGGGTAGCTGGTGGTTCCAGCTCATTGCTCGCTTCTCTGAGCTTCCATTCCCAACATCTCTATATACGGTCCCCGGGCAGTGACTGTCTACATTCCCTCCACCATCCAAGGATGTTGCATTAGACACGCCACTCTCACTACATCATTTGTGGAGGCAGGGTTTAAATCAAGAATAATCAGCACAGTTTTGTTAACGGGACATCGTGTCTGATCAACTTCATTAAATTTTTTGAAGAGGTGACCAGGTGTATATATGAGGGCATTTGATAGGTCTTTTGGTAAGGTCCCACATGGGAGACTGATAGTAAAGGTAAGAGTCCATGGGATCCAAAGAAATTCAGCAAATTGGATCCAGAATTGGCTGAATGGCAGAAGCAGAGGGTGATGGTTGAGGAGTATTTTTTCCCGATTGGAAGTCTATGTCCAGTCGAGTCCAACATGGGTCAGTTTTGGGCCCTTACTGTTTGTGGTTTATACAAATGATTTAGACTTGAATATAAGAGGGTTGATCGGTAAGTTTGCAGATGGTACAAATTGGTGGGGTGCTAAATAGTGAGGAGGAGAGCCTTTGACTACATGAGGATTAAGAGGTTAGGAGGTTAGGTCAGTATGCAAAATGTTGGCAAAATGAGTCTCATGTGGAAAAACAAAAACTTTTTTCAATTTGAAAGGAAGAACAAAAGAACAGAATATTACCTAAATGGAGAAAAACTGCAGAAAGCTGGAAGATGTATGGAGTGGACTGATGAAGCCCAGAGCAGAACTGTAGCAGCAGAGAAGGAAAAGTTGGACTCTCTTTGAGTTATCTTTCTTTACTTTTTATTTTATTTTAAATTAATATGAATGGCACATAGGCATGGTGACAGTATGCACTTTTCACTGTATTTTATTTTGAATACATGCAACAATAAATGATTCAATTCAACGCAAAGGGCCTTGGAAGATTTGTATGTGAAACACAGAAAACTAGCAGACAGGGGCAGCAGGTAATCAGGAAGGGCTAATGGAATGTTGGCCCTTATTTCAGGGGGTTTGAAGTGTGAGACTATGGAAGTTTTACTGCAACTGTACAAGGTGCTAGGAAGACCACATCTGGAGCACTGTGAGCAGTTTTGGTTCCCTTGTTTAAGGAAAGATATCATTTCATTGGAGGCAGTTCAGAGAAGGTTGACTGGGATGATCCCTGGTAGGGAGGGATTGTCTCATGACCAAAGGCCAGGTTGGGACTCTACTCAGTGGTGTTTAGAAGAATGAGAGGCCATCTCATTGAAACATATCAAATTCTTAAGGAGCTTGACAGGGTAAATGCTGAGAAGGTGTTTCTCCTCTTGGGAGAGTTTAGGACCAGAGGCATAGTCAGTAAATAGGGGTGCTAATTTAAAAACTGAGTTGAGGAGGAACTACTTATCTCAGAGGGTTGTTTGTGAGTCTTTGGAACTCCTTGCCACAGGGAGCTGTGGGGGCAGAGTCTTTGTGTATATTTAAGACTGAGATAGATTCTTGATCAGTCGGGCAATCAAAGGCTTACAGGGAAAGGTCAGGAAAGTGGACATGAGGAATGTCAGATCAACCGTGATCCTATTGAACGCAGGCACAGGCTTGGGGGGCTGAATGACTAATTCCTGGTCCTTTTTATAATGGTCTTAAGATACAGTTAGGCTGGTCAGATGGGCTGATCAGTGGCAAATAGAATGCAATCCAGATAAATGTGAGGCAATGCACTTGGGCAGGACAAACAAGACAAGGGAATACCTGATGAATGATAGGACCCTGAAAAGTGCCAAGGATCAGAGGGACCTTGGTATGCATATCCTCCACTCCCTTAAGGTATCAGGACAGATGGATAAAGTAGTTAAGAAGGTATATAGGATACTTGCTTTTATTAGTCGAGGCACAGAGTTCAAGAGTAGAAAGTTATGCTGAGACTGTATGAAATGTGGGTTAGGCCATAACTGGAGTATTGTGTGCAGTTCTGTATCCACATAATAGGAGGGATATGACTGCACTGGAGAGGGTACAGAAGAGATTTACCAGGATGTTGCCTAATCTAGAGAGTTTCAGTTATGAAGATAGATTGGGATAAACTGGGGTTGTTTTCCTTGGAGTAGAGGACAGTGAGAGGTGGGACATGATTGAGATATGTAAAATTATGAGGAGCATAGTCAGGGTTGACAGGAAGAAACCTTTCCCCTTGATGGAAGGATCATTGACCAGGGACCATAGATTTAAGTTAAGGGGCAGGGGGTTTAGAGGGAATGTAAGGAAAAAGATTTTTCACCCAGAGGATGGTGGGGATCTGGAACTCACTGCCTGTGAGGGTGGTAGAAGCAGAAAGCCCCCAGAATGTTGAAGAAAATGCCAAGTGTTAGAAAAGGGGTTTAGAATAATTTTGTTTTTTGACCGACACTGATGCAATGGGCCAAAGCGCCTTTCACTGCGCTGTAGATCTCTATGACTCTATAATGTTATCATCATGGCCCATCTCTGATGCACTTGGAATACAGTTCACCACTTCAATGTTACACTTTGCTGACTGGCATCTTTTACTGCACTGCTGCTCCTCCTAGGGAGTGGCATTCATCATATGCATTGGAGCAGGCTGTATCTCCGGACTGTTTCAGTGCTCACTCCCTTTGCTTGGATGCTCAGAGCTTCTCTGCTTCCTTTACCGTTTTACACTTTACTATCTCATAATCATTCCTGTCAACTGCCTTGGGACATTCGCTATGTCAAAGGACTATCCAACAGTAAGTAATTGTGCTTGTCTTCATTTATTAGTCCCTTTGGTTTGGCAATTCTACATCTGGCCGTAAGACCATAGGATGTAGGAGCAGAAGTAGGCCATAAAGCCCATCGAGTCTGCTCCACCATTCAATGAGATTGTGGATGATCTGAGAATCCTTAACTCCGCTTGATTCCTTGATTCCTTTACTGATTAAAAATCTGTCCATATCAGCCTTGAATATATTTAATGAAACACCCTCGACAGCCCTCTGTGGTAAAGAATTCCACAGATTCACTCGCCTCTGAGAGAAGACATTCCTCCTCACGTCTGTCTTAAATGAGTGACCCCTTACCCTCAGCTGATCCCCACAGTGCAGAAAAAGGCCATTCGGCCCATCGAGTCTGCACCGACCCACTGACCCAGCTCCCTACTCTATCTCCGTAACTCCAACTTTACCATGGCTGATCCACCGAACCTGCACATCTGTGGACCTCTTTTGGGTATTTTTTGGACCTTTGATGCCTCTTGGTCCTAAACTCTCCCACAAGGGGAAACAGCCCCTCACATCAACCCTATCAAGTCCCCTAAGAATCATGTGTGCTTCAATAAATTGGGGTTCAGTTTGTGAATGGCCAATAATTGTCACAGCTTTGCTAGCTTTGATACTCCATCATTTCATTTGCATTGCCTCACCTTTATTTGGTCTCTGTCTCTGTGTATTCCAGATAGTTTGTGTGCACGGCTCATGGAGCACCCGAGGTACAACGGCTCCCTTTACAATGAATTCATCCTGCTCGGGTTTCCAGGATTTGAAGGGTCGGAACGTCTCCTCTCTGCTCCACTCCTCTTGGTCTACTTGACCACGCTGATAGCAAACTTTGCTATTGTGCTGGTTATTGCCCCGGATCCCAGCATGCACCACCCCATGTATCTCCTCATTTGCTGCCTCTCGGTTGTCGATATCATTGTTAGCTCCGCCGTGGTCCCCAAGATGCTGCTAAGCTTTCTGTTTGACCTGAAAGCTGTCTCCTTGGCCGGCTGCCTGGCCCAGATGTTTCTCGTTCACTTTTGGTCCTCGGCAGAATCGACCCTGCTGTTGGCGATGGCCGTCGACCGCTTTGTGGCAATTTGTAACCCGCTGCGATACGCCGCCATTGTGACTGGCACGGCTCTCCTCAAACTGGCCTTGTTTGCCCTCGTACGCAGTGGGCTCACAGTGGCCACTCTGGTTATACTGGCCTCCCCACTCCCGTTCTGCAGGACTAACCTCATTGCCCATTGTTACTGTGAGCACATGGCACTCGTGAGGTTGGCCTGTGCTGACACGAGCCTGAACAGCACCTTGGGTTTGGTATTTGCCTTCACGATCATTGGCTTTGACAGTGTATGTGTCCTCCTGTCCTACTGGAGGATAGTAACCACTGTCCTAAAGATCAGCTCGGCAGAGTCCCGAAGCAAGTTATTTCACACTTGCTGCACTCACTTGTTAGTGATCTTGTTCTGCTACCTCGCTGCCTTATTCTCCTTCTTGACGTACCGGGTAGGTCAGGTTCCCATGGGTATCCGTGTGCTGCTCTCTGTCATGTACCTTATATTGCCTCCGATGGCCAACCCCATCATTTATGGGATGAGGACCAGAGAAATCAGAGAGCGGCTACTGAAAAGGTTTGGGGGCCGAGGGATAAAACCCCAAGTTCAGGAAGTGGCATCTGTAACCAGCTGAGAAACAGACGGCCTCCACTCGCTAATAAACTGTCTGAAACTTTTCATGGTAACTGCTGGTATCAGCCCAGACCACCATTCAAGCCAACAACCATCAATGGACTCCATCTTGTTGCTACGGAAAGGCTGCCAACATTATCAAACACCCCTCCCACCTGAGGGATACTCTCTTCCAACCTCTTCGATCAGGGAGAAGATACAGAAGCTTAAATGCACGTTCAGGTTCAAGGACAGTTCCTTCCCTGCTGTTGCCGAACGGACCTCTCTAATTTCAAATCTAATGTTGATCTTCCTTTTGAGCGTCTCCTATGGAATTGTAAGCTTGTATGCATCATTCTGTCTAAACACCCTATGATCTGTATGTCATTGTATGTTATGATCTGCCTGTTATGCATGCAAAGCAGAACTTTAAACTGTACTTAGGTACAAGTGATAGCAATAAATCCAATCAAATCAATCACTTTCACTCCCACAGAATTACAGATAACATATTGAGGTTATGTGTGGTTCAGTGACTGGACAGTGATGCTCTGAGAAAGAATCATTCTGGATTCGAAACCTTAACTCTGTTTCTCTCTGTCCATTGATGCTGCCAGATCTGCTGGGGCTTTCTGTTTTTACTTCAGATTTCTGGCATCTGCAAAGTTTGCTTTTACTTGCTGAACCATCCCAAGTGCGCTAATATCTACACTAACAACTAATTTGAGATCATGAATCAAATCTATAATTTGGCTCATCAAACTACAGAATTATTACATTGCAAAAGGGGCCCATTCAGCCCACCATTCTACTATGGTTCTATTACCTAGTGTCCATCACCTGCCTTTTCCCCATATCCCTGCCTTCCATTTCTATCCAAATAACCATCCAATGCCCATCTCGAATATCTCAGTGAATCTGCCTCTGCCACATTTCCAGGAAGTGCATTCCATACCTGAACTACTAGTTTTAAAAAGTTTTTCTTCTCACACTACACTCGCAAATCACCTCAAATCTATGTCCTCTCGTGCTTTTTTGCTTTAACAAACAGGGATAGATGCGCCCTATCTACTCTATCCAGCTTGTTCATAGTTTTGTAAACCTCTATCAAATCTGCACTCAGCCGCCTTCTCTTCCAGGAGAGCAGTTCCTTTGTTTTCAATCTATTCTCACAGCTGAAATTTTTCATCGCTGAAACCATTCTTTTTAATCGTTTCTGTGCTCTCTCCAATACACTCACATCTTTCCTACGACGTGGCACCCACAACTGTACACACCCTTCCAACGGTTGGTTTGTGATGCTGAGTGACGTCAACAGGACGGGTTCAATTCCCGCACCAGCTGTGATCCCCATGAAGGTTCCCAACTTCTTAACCTCATCCCTTGCCTGGAGTGTGGTGAACCTCAGGTTAAACTCACCATCTCTCTCTAATGAGGGGGAAACCCTCTGGGACGAGGGTGACTTTATTTTTTATGCAGTCCTCCAGCTGAGGTCTAACAAGCAGCTTGTACAAGTTCAACCTCACCTCCTTGCTCTTGTACTGTATTCATACTAATAAAAGACCACTCTATGCCTTATTAACTGCTCTCTCCACCGGTCCTACCGCCTTCAACAATCATATATATTTTCTAATAGTGACATTAATTCAAATATAGGCATACGTTCTCTACAAAAACAAAGTGATATGTTCAGATCTGGCTTTTTTTTTAATTACTTGAGCTTCGGGGAGCCCATAGTTTTCGCCATGGTAACATCTTGGCCAATCACAGCCAATTGCCAACCAACCAGCATGCTTTACCCTTTAATATACAATTGATATTCTTGCATTTTGTCCTAGAAGAAATTCTTCAGCAACGTGTCTGTTTCTTCATAGAGTCATACAGCACAGGAACAGACCCCTTGATCCAACCAGTCCATGCTGAACATAATCCCAAACTAAACTAGTCCCATCTGCCTGCTCCTGGCCCATATCCCTCCAAACTTTTCATAATCATGTACTTATCCAAATGTCTTTTAAATGTTGCAACTGTACCCACATCCATCACTTACTCTGGCAGTTCATTCCACACACAAACCAGTCTGTGCCCACATCCACCACTTCTTCAGGAAGTTCATTCCACACATGAACAACTCTTTGTGTAAAGAATTTGCACCTCAAGTCTTTCTGAAATCTCTCTCTTCTCACCTTAAAAATGTTTTGAAATCTCCCGTCCTAGGGAAAAAGACAACTACTATTAACTCTATCTATACCCCTCGTTATTTTATGAACTTTTATAAGGTCGCGTCTTAACCTCCTAAGGTTGTCCCAGCCTATGGGTGGCACAGTGGCTCAGTGGTTAGCACTGCTGCCTCACAGCGCCAGGGACCCAGATTCGATTCCAGCCTTGGGCAACTGTCTGTGAGGAGTTTGCACATTCTCCCCGTGTCTTCGTCGGTTTCTTCTGGGTGCTCCAGTTTCCTCTCACAGTCCAAAGATGTGCAGAGTAGGTGGATTGGCCATGCTAACTTGTCCATAGTACCCAGGGATGTTTAGTTTAGGTGGGTTAGACATGGGGAAATATAGAGGTAGGGGAATGGTCTGGGCGGGATGCTCTTCAGAGGGGCAGTGTGGACATGTTGGGCTGAATGGCCTGTTTCAATACTGTAGGGATTCTATGATGATTCTATCTAGACTTTCTTTATAACTCAAACCTTCCATATCCAGCAGCACCCTGGTAAATGTCTTCTGAACTCTCTCCAGATTAATAATACGAATCAAGTTCAGAACTGCCGCTACCACTGCAATTGGGTAGTTTAGAACTTTAGAATTTAGAGGGATGAAATATACAAGATTCTTAGAGATTTAACAGAGCAAATGTGGAGAGGTTGCTTCCACTTGTGGGAGAGTCTAGAACTAGAGGGCATAACCTTAGAATAATATGTTGCCCATTTATGACTGAGATGCGGAAGAATTTCTTCTTTTAAATGATTGTGAATCTGTGCAATTCTTTATCACAGAGGGCTGTCAAGACTGGATTATTCAGTATATTTAAAGTTGAGATAGACAGATCTTTAATCAGTAAGGGAATCGAGGGTTATGGGGAAAAGGCAGGAAAATGGAGTTGAGGAGTATCAGATCAGGCGTAGATAGCAAGATCTGCAGATGCTGAAGTAGAGGCAGCACAGTGTGGAACTGGAGGAACACAGCAGGCCAGGCAGCATCAAAGGAGCAGGAAAATTGACATTTCAGTTCAGGACCCTTCTTCAGAAATGGCCCATTTCTGCAGAAGGGTCCCGGCCTGAAACATCAACTTCCCTGCTCCTCTGATGCTGCCTGGCCTGCTGTGTTCCTCCAACTCCACACTGCATTGTCTCAGATTAGCCATGGTCTCATTGAATGGTGGAGAAGACTCGATGGGCTGAATGGCCAACTTCTGCTCCTATGGCCTATGGTCTTATGGTTTCATAAGTACTGACCTAGCCAGAGACACCCACTTCCCAAGAATTGATCAAAAATGCTTTGTCTTAAGCAATTTATTTGGATCGCCCATCAATTTTCTATCAAAAAAAATCATTTTGAACTGTGTTAGAACACCATGAACAGTACAGTTTGTTATACCTTGCTAGATTGAAAAGAGCCAGGAGCTTCCATTAAACCAACTCTGTATCCCTGCAATATCTGTTTCCTCTCAGCAGGGGACAACGTTTTACAGTAATTGGTTTCAGTTCAACCCTCACAGAGTAAAGAACTCACAGCTGCCAGAACATAACTAACTTTCCCCTTACAATTTACTTGTACACTAAATGTTTACAGTTGTGCAATCCTTCTATAATTTAAAAAATATTTTGATTTTACTGATTGTTCATAACTAAGTTATGAATCATAATTAAAAATCAGAAGAACTGTGGATGCTGTAAATCAGGAACAAAAAAAGAAGTTGCTGGAAAAGCTCAGCAGGTCTGGCAGCATCTGTGAAGGAAAAAAAATCAGAGTTAACATTTTGGATCTGGTGACCCTTCCTCTGAACTGACTGGACCTGAAACATTAACTCTGTTTCTTTCTTCACAGATGTTGCCAGACCTGCTGAGCTTTTCCAGCAACTTCCGTTTGTGAATCATAATTGCTTGTTTATTTCTATCACCCTCACAATTCAGCACCTAATGCCAGGATAATTTCTCAACAAGCCAATTATCTCTCTGTCTGTCTACCTATCTATCTATTACTATATCTGTCATTCTCACTCTATCCATTTCTCACTTTCTCTTGCTGGATAATCTAATTTGCATTCATATTGCATCTTTAACCTAGTAAACCATCCCAATATGCTTTACCATTGGTGTTATCATGAGGTTTGATAGTGAGCTAGGTAAGCGGATATTGGAGCTAATGACTTAAATCTTGGTCAAAATGGTAGATTTTCAGTAGTGTCTTCAAGGAAGTGGAGAGGTGTAGGGGGGCAGAGGAGGATAGGGAGGGTGTTCCAGAGCTTTGAGCAACTGAACGCATGTCCCCTGATGGTTGGAGGTTGAATTTGAGGCATGTATAAAAGACTAGAATTCGAACAGTACAAATGGCTCAGAGGCTAATAGGCCTGGATGAGGTTAGACAGTTAGAGAAGGGTAAGCAATATAGGGATGCAACAACAGTCACAAGAAATGAACGCTGAAGAAGCAGAAAAAACAGAAAGCGCTGGAAAAACTCAGCAGGCCCGGCCACATCTGTGGAAAGAGAAACAGAGTTAACGTTTCGAGTGACCCTTCTTCAGGTCTTTATTTTATTTTAAGGCTGAAGAAGAGTTCTGGAGTAGAATCATACTGGACTCGAAATGTTAACTCTGTTTCTGTCTCCACAGATGTGGAGGTGCCAGTGTTGGACTGGGGTGGACAAATTCAGAAGTCACACAACACCAGGTTATAGTCCAACAGGTTTATTTGAAATCACATAAACTTTCGGAGTGCTGTTCCTTCGTCAGGTGAATTAGAGGGAGTCAGACAAATTCTGTGCTTGTGCACTTCTGTCCACTTCACTTGATGAAGGAGCA